GATAGATAGATAGATAGATAGATAGATAATGATCTTTCCAGGCAGGGATTTCCCCCCTTTCCTGGAGGACCTGAACCCAGGATCTCAAGCAGCGTATGGTTGCATTTGAAACAAATGAGAGGAGCCACTAACCTCATGGCTCCCTCCTACGAAGGAGGGTGCCTGATCTATCTCTGTATGAGACTCTGCTCTCACCTCCTCCCATTTGATCTTACTGAGATGGAGGAGAGCTTAATTAAATGGAAAAGAACCGGTCACCAACCCTGGCGGGGCCAGTTACTGTATATAAATAGGGAACAAACCTCTGACTAGCACTGATGATGTTACCTAGTTGGGTCATGACATTTCTGCAAGGAAACAACCAAGCTCAGAAGACCCCACAAAAGAACTTCTCTTTTTAGCAAGGATAATACTGCACATTCTCTTAAATCAAAGGTACAGGCTGGGGGTCTCCTAAGTTGGCCCCTTTTAAGACTTGTGGACTTCAACTCCCAGAATTCCTCAGCCAGCCATGCTGGCTGAGGAATTCTGGGAATTGAAGTCCACAAGTCTTAAAGGGGCCAACTTTGGAGACTTCTGGTACAGGCCCCCGGACTGTGAATTGACTCCGTGAGGCACAGAAGATAAAAAACCTTTTGCTTCCCCTTTCTCTGGTTCCTAATGTTTTACCTCTGCTACTTTTTCGGGGCCTCCAAAGTAGTCGATCAGTTCATCCAAGGTGTTAAGAGGTAGTTCTTTGCCCAATGCCTTCACTTTAGCCAGCAGTTCCTGCTTCATGTTCTCCACGCATTCCAGAGTTCCTGATCCGTTCATCTCCTTTTGGGAGTGCAGCCAGTAGATGCCAACTATAATGAGGAAGAGAAAGAGATTGCAGCTCTTTTTCGGTTTTCCTTTTTTGGAGAAAGGAAAACAGGCAGGCAGAGAAGGGCAAAGGTAACGTTGTAGCTTGCAGCGATGGTAGGATTCTGGAGACACTCAATTTTTTTCCTCTTGGATACTCAAGAGTCCAGTGCTGCTATTCTCCAAAGCACCAGGGGGCAGGACAAGAAACAACGGTTGGAAAATGACCAAAGAGAGAAATCATGGGCGCTATTCTATTCTATTCTATTCTATTCTATTCTATTCTATTCTATTCTATTCTATTCTATTCTATTCTATTCTATTTTCTATTCTATTCTATATTCCATTCTCTATTCCATTCTCTATTCCATTCTGTTCTGTTCTGTTCCGTTCCGTTCCATTTCATATTCTATATTCTATATTCTATATTCTATATTCTATATTCTATATTCTATATTCTATATTCTATATTCTATATTCTATTCTATTCTATTCCCAGGGAAATATAGTTAGTCCTTGACTTATGACAATTGAGCCCAAAGTTTCTACTGCTAAGATAGTTGTTGTGAATTTTGCCCCATTTTACAACTTTTCTTCCCACAGTTGTTAAGTGAATCAGTGCAGTTGTTAAATCAGTCATACGTTTGTTTAGCGAACCTGGCTTCCCCCTTGACTTTGCTTGTCAGAAGGTCGCAAAAGGGAATCACGTGACCCCGGGACACCGCAACTGACATAAATACATACATGCAGGTGTCCGAATTTTGATCACATGACTATGGGGATGTTGCAATGTTTGTTAAGTGTAAAAAATGGCAATAAGTCCCTTTTTCAGTGCCGCTGTAACTTCGGTCACTAAAAGGATGGTCGTAATTCGAGGGCTACCAGTATATATTGAATGGTGCAAATACACGTAGTCCTCGACTTAGGACCACAATTGAAGCCAAAATTTATGTTGTTAAGTGAGAAGTTTAAGTGAATTTTGCCCCATTTTAGGATCTGTCTCGTCACATTTGTTAAGTGAATCACTGAAGTTAAGTTAATAACCTGGTTGTTAAGTGAATCTGGCTTCCCCATTGGCTTTGCTTGTCAGAAGGTTGCAAAAGGGGATCACGTGACTCTCCCTGGGACACTGCGACCGTCATAAATGTGAGTCAGATGCCAAACATTTGAATTTATATATATATATATATATATATATATAATAAACAACATGTTGTCTGGGTCCATTAGTAATTCAGTGGTCTATTTTAACTTCTTTATACTAGCACAGGGGTAGGCAACCTTGGCTCTTTTATGACTCGTGGACTTCAACTCCCAGAATTCCTGAGCCAGCATGGCTCAGCTTGGAAACCTCTCTCTTTCCCCTCAGCATGGCTGGCTCAGGAATTCTGGGAGTTGAAGTCCACGAGTCATAAAAGAGCCAAGGTTGCCTACCCCTGGACTAGATCCACTATTACACCTTCAAATGTTTCCTCTCTTCTTCCGATAATACCTATTTTCCCATACTAGGTAAATACAATTCTTATTGTTATTAGTAAATATACAATTGAACATCAACATCTTTGTTACCTTTTTCTAATAATATCAATAATGTCAGTTTAAGGTATCTTTTCTAACAAAAACACATCTTAATTGCATTTGCACTTAACATCCGTATGTTCAATCAGTATCCTGTTTTCATTTTTTTAAAAAAATTTAATTTCCCATCAGTGTTCAAAATGTTTCTTATTGTTTATAATTCCGAAGTAAGTTATATTTGGGTAACCAAAAGCTTCTTTCATTCAAACTTTTTAAAATTTTCCTGTTTCCCTTCTCATACCTAAATCTAATCTTCTAATTGCAAACCTTATTTTTCTAGTTATAATAATACTTCTATTTCTAGCAATTGTCTATTCTCCACCATATTCAAACATCTAATTC